CCCCAAAACCCCAAAACCCCAAAACCCCATGTGTATATTGATAGTATTCATTGAGTAAATAATTTGTTAGGAAATTAAGAATTATTAAGATTATTATATCACTAAGGGGGAGGGTATCCGTATCCTGAGGGAACATATCCTGTAGGTTATTATTGAGGGTAGCCAGCAGCATACTATTAATTAGGGTCATACATTGGCTAGTTTTGCATTAATTATGGCTACTGTTAATTAGGATCAAATTAGGGTGGCTGTTAGATAGGATATTCTTGAGGTTAATAGATAACTGGCTGCTAGTAAACTAATTATTGAGGTTATGGGTTAAAAGTGTAACTTATAGGAGGTGCTTAAATGATCGTTTAATTTACAAGTATACTCTGATCATGAGTCGCTTATAATCTAGCAGAATAAAATGGATCATGATCAACTTTAGGATATCCTTGAATGCTATTTGGATAATTCTAATTTTGATTAATGACAGGTTGATGACCCAGCACACTATTCATTTGATAAATTCCATTATCACTAGCAGCTTATTACTACATTACTCTAAGATCATTATCTGCTTCCGACTATTAAGGTTATTATCGGTTATTATGTGCTATTGCTTCCTTATATCTTGCATCTATTTATTTATATTAAGAGCATTTACACAGGAACAAACTCTAGAATATTGCGCAAAAATGTACTCCCATACATCTAGCAATCGACCAAATAAATATGCATATCAACAGCATAAATCCTGTTAGTATCGCAAAGATGATCCACCACCAACCATCTTGAGTACCGATAGCTCTGTAACTGTAAGTATTTGTATAAAAATTGAAGTAAGTGTAGTAAGAGGTTGAAAAAGAAGAGGATCTGTAGCTACTTCTACTAAATGAAGATCTTGATCCACTACTTTTAGTGCTGATTAATAGGGAGTATGTTAAAACCAAGTTTAAGAAAAAGATAATCTTAGTCTGAATTAGCATTTTTATTATTTAAATTATCTATAAGGTTTATTTCAAAAACTGAAAAAAACTTCAAATAAGATGATGATGGGGTTTTGGGGTTTTGGGGTTTTG